CACCCCGCTGAGGATCTTCCAGCCCAGAACTGCCTGGGGCATTGCCTAGGCCCAGGAGCCAGGAGCCTCCACAGGAATGTAGCCTCCCATACCTGTTAGCAAATAAAATTGTGAGGGTTTTCTTCTCTTCTGTTTTCTTTTTCTTTTCATTTTCTCTTTTTATAAAGGCAGGGTCGACTGTAGCCCAGGCTGGCCTCAAATTCCCTGAACTCACTGCCAGTTTGAGGATGCCTTGGAACTCCTAATCCACCTGTCTCCACCTCCCAAGTGCTTGAATTTTGCGCATGTGCTACCACCACAGCAGATAAAATGTGTTGTTTTTAGCTACTAAGTTTATGGCCATTTGTGACAGCAGCAAACAAACATTATTATGATGACCTTCGGAAATAGATGAGGATGCATGCTTAGCTTGACATTGGATTTGGGTCAAAGTGGAATGAAAAGAAAATGTCACTCCATGAGAATTTCTTGCCACGAGTTGAAAATTTCACTGAGTGATCTAGGTGCAAACTTATGTGTGTGCCCAAATGGATCTCTGCAAGGTGCAGAGACCTTGATGGAGTTGCTGGGAAGCTTTCTATGTGTCTTGAAGGTACATTGGATTTTCACACAGAGACTTTATTTCAATTATGACAGTCTAATAGTAGTTTTAAGCTGAGTATGATGGCACACACCTGTAATCCCACCACTTGGGAGATGAAGACAGGAGGATCAGGAGTTCCAGGCCAGGCCAGGCCTTATCTTAAAAAAAAAAAAAGGCAATGGCTGGGAATTTTCTCCTAGAGAAAGACTGTGGAGGAGATGCTCAGTATCCTCCAGTCTCTTTGCTCCCCTTCACCCTTTTTGAAATAAAATGACCAAAGGTCAATAAGGTACAGGTTTCCCAGCTAGAAATATCATTTCCCATCCCTTCTTGTGGGAATCGTAGTCTTGTTCCTGTGTATCATCTATTTTTCTGATAGCACCTTAGCAGTGTGTGTGTGTGTGTGTGTGTGTGTGTGTGTGTGTGCTCTTGTGAGTTCCTCTGTGTGTATGTGTTCTGTGTGCAAGTGCACATGGAGGACAGAGACAAGATTGGGTGTCATTGATTCCTCAGGCACTGTCCATCTTGGGCTTTTGTTTTATTTTGTTTTGTTTTGTTTTGTTTTGAGACAGGCTCTCTCTCTGGCTTGGAACTCACCAAGTAAAGTAGGTTGGCTAGCCAGCAAGCCCCAGGGCTCTGCCTCCCCAGCAATGGACTTACAAACACGAGCAGTTAAGAACACTGACTGCTCTTACAGAGGACCTGAGTTCAAATCCCAGCACTCACATGGTGGCTAACAACCATCCATAACTCCAGTTCCAGGAGATCCATCAGCTTCTTCTGACCTCTGTGGGCAATGCATGACATGGGTGTACTTACACACATGCAGGCCATACACTCATACACATAAAAATAAATCAAAAAATTTTAAAGAAGTAACATGATTACATTGAAAGACTTTGTATAGTTTTGGAGAATTTGGAAAGGGAGTGGATGACAAACACATTATAGGAACAGTGACAAATTTCACATTGTTGTTGAAGCTTCGTAATATGGTTTTGTCAGTAAACAATATTCAAAAATTATAGTAGATATATAGGATTTCAAGTTTATGTTCTTTTTTAATTGTTATTGATTTTTGTGTATTTCATACATAAAATCATCTTTCTGCCCCCTTCCCCTTTCCCTTTGGCACCTCCCATAGCCCCCCCCCCCAGAGTTCATACCTTCTGTCATTGGGCTTGGAGATTTAGCTCAGTGGTAGAGCACTTTTTTTCTGAAAAAAGACAAAATAACAAAAAACTAAAAAACAAGGCACTATACAGTCTGTCATTTGTGTTAAGGCCTATTATGTAAAGTTAGTGTCCTGAGATGTCCCTCAGTGCAAGTTCATCCACCAGGGTTTAGTCAGCCTATCTAGAGTCTCTCCCTTCAAGAAGATCAGCTCTTCCTCACCCAGCAGTAATCAGCTGCCAAAAATTCTTTGACTAAGATTGGGACTTACTGTTCATTTCCACACTGAGTTTATATTCTAAGACATAATTACATATTTTGTTTGAGGATTATATCAGTTTATTTATTATAGTACTTTTTTTAAACTTCCCAGACTGATTTTTATCTTAGAAGTTCATTTAGGGCACAGGTGAAGGCACACTAGGGCTGTAGAAAAGTAATAGAAAAATAATGGCGAACCTCTTGGTGCCTGGGAACGGGAGATCCAACATCAAGGCCTGGATACCCAGGACCACGTGTGGAATGAGGACCATAGCTGGGCCTCAGGGGAAGAGGGAGGTCCATTTCAGAGAATCAGTTCTCCCAAGACCAGAATCTGCAAATAACAGAGGCCACCTCTGTTCCTAGCATACGAGGCAAAGCCTCTGCCATGCACAACCTGAGACCTCAGGGGAGGGGTCTGTGGGGAATATAGTCACTCAGAGAAGACTGAAACTGCTTCCCAACATCAGGAAGTCCTCCACACTCTACTCTGCTCTAACATCAGGTTACCTCCAGAGGGATGCGGAACTGTAGCTCATGGTAGGGGTCCAAGGCTTCAGGCTCATTTGAGGGGACCACAGCTCCAGGGGACCACAGCTCTGCCTCATGGGGTGGGGAAGCATTGCTCCAACTCCCAGGATAGGACCACAGCTCCAGCTTATGGGACAGGACTACCGCTCTTGTTCATGGGAGTGGACCACAGCTCCAGCTCACAGGAGGGGACTACAACTCCAGGATCATGGGAGGGGACCACAACTCTGGCTCACAGAAAGGGACCTCAGCTCCAGGTTCACAGGAGGGGACCACAGCTCCAGGTTCACAGGAAGGGGACCTCAGCTCCAGGTTCATGGGAGGTGACCTCAACTCTGGGATCATGGGAGGGGAACACAGTTCCAGCTCACAGGAGGGAAACGTTCTTGTTGAAAGCTGAACATGGTGTCCTGAGGGAAAGGAACTGCTCTGATAGGCCTCTGTGATGCAGTGTGATTTGGAGGTGCTCTTTCTTTCTTTTGGTTAACTGGGCTAGCTATCTGTCAATCTTGTTTATCTTTTCAAAGAACCAGCTCTTGGAATTGTTGATTCTTTGTATTGTTTTCTTTGAATTTCATTAATTTCTGCCCTGATGGTTGTTACTTCTTGTCTGCTGGGTTTGGGTTTCCTTTGCTGTTGCTTTTCAAGTGTGTTGAGTTGCAATGTTAAGTCATTTATTTGTGTTCTTTCTGATTTTTTGATATAGGCACTTAGAGCTATAAACTTCCCTCTAAGGACCGCTTTCAGCGTGTCCCAGAGGTTTTGTTGTGTTGTATTGTCCTTTTCATTTAGTTCCAGGAATACTTTTATTTCTTAATTTCTCTTTCGACTCATTCATCATTCAGGAATGTGTTGTTTAATCTCCATGTGTTCACATGGTGATTAGGGCTTCTTCAGGTGTTGATTGTAAGCTTTATTGCACTGTGGTCTGATAGAATGCATGGAATTATTTCAATCTTTTTGTATTTGTTGAGGTTTGTTTTGTGCCCCAGTATATGGTCGATTTTGGAGAAGGTTCCATCGGGTGCTGAGTAGAAAGTATGTACTTTGGTGTTTGGATGGACTACTCAGTAGATGTCTGTTAAGTCCATTTGATATATGGTAGTAATTCAGATGTCTCTCTGTTAACTCTCTGCCCTGTTGACCTATCTAATGGAGACAGCAGGGTATTGAAGTCCCCTTCTATTAATGAGTTGGGATTAATCTGGGTCTCAAAGCCCTGTAGTATTGTTTTTATGAAGTTGGGTGCTCTCGAGTTTGGTGAATATATGTTCATGATTGTAATATCTTCTTGGTTTATTGTTCCTTTGGTCAGAATGAAGTGGCCCTCTTTATCTCTTCTGATTAGTTTTAGTTTAAAGTCTA